CCACTTTCCAATTTGCCACTTTCTACCTTCCACTTTGGGAGGAACAAAGTAGAAAAGTAGAAATTGGATAGTCAAATGGAAAATAGGAAATAGAAAGTGGATACTAGGATATAAAATTAGAAAGTAGAAAGTGGGAAAGTAAATAATGGGATACGAAAAGTGGAAAATGGATAGTGAGATGTAAAAACTGCAAAGGTGAAAATTGGGAAGTAAAATGGAAAATAGGAAATAAAAAGTGGATAGTGGGATATAAAATTGGAAAGTAGAAAGTGGAAAAGTAAATAATGGGATATAAAAGTGGAAAATGGGACTGGTACAGAGTTTAAAATGGAAACTGTGATGGAAGTAGAAAGAGGGAAAATGAAAATTCGAAGGTAGGAAGTGATGTAGAAAGTGGAAAATGAAGTATAGAAAGTGGGAAAATGGATAGTGAGATGTAAAAACTGCAAAGGTGAAAATTGGGAAGTAAAATGGAAAATAGGAAATAAAAAGTGGATAGTGGGATATAAAATTGGAAAGTAGAAAGTGGAAAAGTAAATAATGGGATATAAAAGTGGAAAATGGGACTGGTACAGAGTTTAAAATGGAAACTGTGATGGAAGTAGAAAGAGGGAAAATGAAAATTCGAAAGTAGGAAGTGATGTAGAAAGTGGAAAATGAAGTATAGAAAGTGGGAAAATGGATAGTGAGATGTAAAAACTGCAAAGGTGAAAATTGGGAAGTAAAATGGAAAATAGGAAATAAAAAGTGGATAGTGGGATATAAAATTGGAAAGTAGAAAGTGGAAAAGTAAATAATGGGATATGAAAAGTGGAAAATGGGAGGTACAGAGTTTAAAGTGGAAACTGATGTAGGAAGTAGAAAGTGGGAAAATGAAAATTCGAAAGTAGGAAGTGATGTAGAATGTGGAAAATGAAGTATAGAAAGTGGGAAAATGGATAGTGAGATGTAAAAACTGCAAAGGTGAAAATTGAAAAATAAAATGGAAAATCGTAGGCATAAAGTTGGAAAGTGGAAAATGGGATGTGGAAAGTGGGAAATAGGAGATAGAAAAGTTCAAAGTAGAAATAGGATGTGGAAGATATAAAGTAGAAAACTGTAAATTGAGAAGTAGGAAGTAGTGTAGAAAGTAGGAAATGAAGTATAGAAATTGGAAATATGGATATAGTGGGATGTAAAAAGTGGAAACTCCAAGGTACAAAGTGGAAAGTAGGAAAGTTACGGAACATATTCTTAAACCCATAAAAAATAGTACCAAAATTGAAAAGATTTTTGACCTTCGCAGTTGAAGAGGATTAATAATAAATTTATTGTTTCCCTTTTTAGAGAGTGCGCGATATATTAGAGGTATATATATATGCGCGGCTATTCAATTTATAAAGAATTCGAATAGACAGCAAATGCTTAATGTGACGGGGGGTCAGGTCAACGTCATATTCAATGAAGAAAAAGTAGCATTTCTGATACAGTCAGTTTCAGTTGCACATCCTAGAATACCTTTCCCAAGAGAGGTGTATACATGTTAGGTGAGATGTCAGGCGTCAAAAAATCTTACATGACGTGACGTTTATACCTAAACCTACGCTATAGTTTTTCTATACCCATATTATTATGCGGTTATCACCAAAAGATTCATATTAGCCATCAAATATCGTTTTGCACGTATAGAAAATTTTTTAAAAATAATTCTGGCAAGTATTAAGGAAATATATAAAACATTTTTATCGTAGTTTTATAGTTTTTGCAATACTTGCTAATAAAAGTTATTTAATAAAAAAGAAAATATAGTAAAACTCTAATATATGCTCATTGGCTTCGAATAATTAATAATATAAATAATTAAAAAAAAAAAAATACATTTTTCTCATCAATGATATAATTCAAAAAGATTTTGAGGAAATTTGTTTACAAAATCCTGCCATCTAGAGAAGAATCGTGCAACACCTGGAACCTGCAACATCACCTTAAAGGTATAAGAAGTGACATTCTTCGTTCTCTACTTTATCGACAGAGGAGCTTCAGTTTCTCCAGTACATTACAAGATGGAACCAAATGCCATTGTTGGCAGCCATCATGAATCATATCGTTTTTGGTATTGAAGTGGGGGATTTGATTGACAGAAAGGGAGGGTCTTTGCATTTGAATCATATATTGTATAATAGAAGGGTGGAGTTAAATATACACGAATAATGGTTTCCTTCTTTTTCTCGCAATAATATCAAATAAATATTATTCAAATTAAATAATAATTATAATTTTCATTTTTTATTCTTTTAATTATAATAATTAATTCAAATAATAATATAATTATTTCGAAAAATATAAATTTATATATAAATAAAAGAAATTTAAAATTTTCTATTCAAAATTATTTTTAAATATGTTAATAAAAAGTAAAATAGAATAATATAAATAAAAAATATTTTTAATATTTTTTTAATAAGATAAAACAGAGAGAGAGAGAGAGAGATATTAATTGTGACAAACACGCCATCTTGAAGTAACATTTCCAAACTGGTTGAGAACATTCTTCTTTGATCATTAAATCAACAAAAACGAATTGTTGAGAAATCTACAATATCGACAGTAATCTTCATCTCATTTACAAATTTACTCTAAGTTTCCTAAAATTTAACATTCGATGGTAATGTTGAAAAAATATTATCAATTAATGATAATAATCCTTTTTGGTTTCCGTAAATTGTCGCTTCAAAAATGTGTTTCCACTTTATATTTATAAAAATCTGCAAAAATCTAATCAAACTAACCATATACGCGTCTCCTGTACATATTTTTTAAACTATGTTTTCTAAGATAATTTATATATTTTTACTTTCAACGTTCCTCGACATGGATATCCACTTTCAAAACCCATCTACATATATACTATGTTATAGATACCGAGTGTGATTGGTAACCTGTCTGACTCATCATGATTATTATTAAATATATATATATATATTTTTTTTTTTGCATAGAATTGTAAATGCAGCAATATTTCAGATGAACAAAAAGGTTGTAACTGCCATTTCTATACATAAAAAAAATAACGTTGCATAATGTACATGTATAGCAAATAAAAGAAAGAAGCGATGACATTGCAATCTCCAGAAACGTGTCACTATTCAAAAGCAAAAAAAAAAAAAAAAAAAAAAAAAAAAAAAAAATACAAAAGTGTCTTCAAGTTCAAGGTTATATTGTGAATAATATTGGCCACACTCTTTCGGAACTGACTTAGTTAAAGTATATACTAAGTGCGTTCGGATATCCAGGAATTAATTCTCATAATACAGAGATATTCAGAATATTCCTCCTAGGGATATTTTTTGACATTCTATCTTGACATATTTCTGAGATATTAAACCACGAAAAAAGTAATCCAAGGACTTCTCAGGGATATCCTAAATATCCCTGTGGTATGAAGGTATAGTGTATAAATTTTATTAAATATAAATTTGAATTTTTAATATATGTTTTTATTTTTTAGATGCAGAGAATTTCTTCGGATATTTCGAAATATAGGGACATTAGAAAATTAGGATATTATACGTATTTGGAAATAATGTTATCCAATATCCTCAGAAAATCTATACAGACATCCTTGGTCATCCTAGGAATTTCTATATAATTTCCTCGAACGAAATTAACGACCGTTGGATATCCTGAAGGATATCCTGAATAAGGGAATGCAAAAAATTATCATTTGAAAACCAAATCGTAACCAATTTTTGATTATCATTCTTTGAAGGAGGCGAAAGAAAGTAATAAATTTCAGAATATATTCTATCTACATCCTAGTTCTCAGGCTTTTGAAATTTAGGATATTCATATATCCTAAAACATACTATCTGATATTCTAAATTCCAAGAGCATTCACAATTATGTAGTCCGAAAGAATTAAGATATCCCTAGGATGTTCTGTGAAAATATCCGGATATTGTTACCCTCACAGCATCCGGATATTCAGAATATCTCTAAGGATATTATTTCTTTCGGGGAAAATTAAGGTATTTCAAGGACGTTCGAAGAGATATTCTAATTTTCAGAAACTTTTAGAACTTCCATATAGAATATTATGAAATATATCCGGTAAATTGTGCAACGATAAACAATTGGAGTTAGAAAACCAAATCGTAAATTTTTTACAAATGACAATTTTGCGCCTCTGTAAAACCCTTACGACAGTGGAAGTATCCGTATAAATATAGGATATTCCTAGAATGTCCTCGTTCATGGAACATCCCATAGGAATATCCTAGTTTCCCTGGACCATTTGCGGTATTCCCAGAACGTCCGTTGGATATCTTCGGGATGCTGTGATGGAAGTGGAAAAATATAAGTATTAGAAAACCAAATCGTAAATTTTTTACACTAGCAAAGTAAATTAAAAATTGTTATACAAAGGACAAAAAAAAAAAAATCGGAAATTTTGTATAAAATATAATTCCGGTGTTTTTTAAAAGTGATTGCTTCAATTCTCAAAGTGATTCTTTCTCTCTTGATATCGGATGAACTTCAGAACGGGAGAGAATTATCACACCAGGGTCTCTTTTTTTTTCCCTAATGTAATATCATATCCCAGTATGTCGATTGAGCAGCAGTGACAACGGTTGTCGTCGTCGTCGTAGTGGTGGTAACTGTCGCCAATGATAATTTATGTTAATGGGAGTTCATACACCGGCTGGGTCGACTATACGATTGCCAGGGCAGTCTGCAGGTCGTCGCGGCACTGTGCGGACGTTAACTTTCTCGTATATATACATATATATACACACCGTTACACCATCCAAAAGTTTTACCCAAACATTCACGTTTTGGATGCTGAGTTTCAGTCGGTATAGAGAGAATTTTGCACCCTTCCTCTCACCCCCACCCCACCCCCCTTCCTCTTCACCCCTCCTTCAAACATCCCTCAACTTTTAATATTCGAAATGGCGACGCCCAGCCTTGCCCTACGGTTACTTTTCAGCGCTCGACGCAGACTCAGATACTCACGAGTTTCGGGGCGCAGACAACCCAATGTACAGGTCATTCGAATCGGGAGTTCCTTTCAGACGTTCTTTTCCTTATTGAAGAATAATTTCTTTAATTTACCATTTTCTTTTTATAATTACGTATATATCAAGAATCAAAAAGTATGAAAACTATTTTACAAAACAAATTGTTATCAATAAGTTTCGAAAAATTCAAGTGAGATTTTAATGGGGTAAGTTATCACGATAAAGGTGTATTATTCAAAAAAAAAAAAGTGATATGAGTTGTTTTTTTTACATTTTGAAAAAAAAAACGTTTCACTTGGTGAGACATAATGTTTTTGTAATAGTTGCACTTAAAGTGTCACTAGAGTATACATTCAGTGGTGGCGCCATCAGTGATAAGGACCCAACTGTTTACGGGGGTTGAAAGAGGGTGGGTTTCATGACGCCGATCGATTTCAAGCAAAATATACGCGAACGAATTTTTTCTTTTTCGTGAACTGATTTTGAAAACAGTGATTCTTTTCACTATTCTTTTCAATTTTTAAATTTAGTATCGTTTTTTCATTAAAAAAAAAAAAAAAAAGAAATTCGTTTATTTCATAAAAATTATTAAACTAAAAATTATAGAATTCATAAATTTTTACTAAAAGAAATATTAAAAATTTTTTTTTTATATAAATAATTTGTTTAAAATAATTTATTTTTAATTTCAAAGAAGGGAAAAATTTTTTTTTCCCGAAAATAGTTTTTCGATTTAGAATTGAAATATTTTTCTGTCACGAGAATATATATAAGAAAAATAGTTGTAAAATTTCGAGGAAAAATCTGCCGTTAGAGAAAGTTTTAGGGTCTTTGTGATGGCCGGTTCTGTTATATATTCTATATGGAGGGTGCCATTCATTTCAGGGTTGTCCGTGCTGAGATGAAGGACATGCGCAATATGATGTAAGCGACTCCATGATTTTATCCCTTATAGCGGTCTTTGTTCAAAAAAAAATAATTTTTTTTTCTCAATCTTTAGAGAAATAATAATTAATATTTGTATTTTTTTCCACATTCACTTAATAATCTTTAAAAATATTTTAATTTTTTTGTCTCAAATTCAAATTAAAGTGTATTGAATTTTGTTTTATATTTCTTTTTTTAATGGTATAGGAAAAAAAAATCTTTTTTCTTTCATTGTTAAAGGGGGTTTTTATTTAAAGAAAGGACAATATTTTACGCAATGAAAAAAAAGTGTAGTGGGCAAAGCATATACTTTCCACACTGAAAAAAACATCACAGTGGGCAAAGTAGATACTTTTTGCACTGAAAACATTGCAGTGAGCAATGTAGATACTTTCCGAACTGAATAATATCGTAGTAGGGCAAAGTAGATACTTTCCATACTGGAAAACATTGCAGTGGGTAAAGTAGAAACTTTTCGCAAAGTATATACTTTTCGCATTGTTAAGTTTTTTCAGTACGCAAAATAGATACTTTCTGCACTAAAAATTATCGCAGTGCGCAAAGCAGATACTTTTTGCACTGTTAACTTTTTTCACTGAGCAAAATAGATACTTTCTGCAATGAAAAACCATTGCAGTTGGCAAAGTAGATATTTTTCGCACTACGTGGTGGAAAAAGGTTGTTTTGCGCTCTATTATAGTGGGCAAAGTACATATTTTTCGCACTACGTGGTCAAAAAAAGGTTGTTTTGCGCTCTATTATAGTGGGCAAAGTACATATTTTTTGCACTAAAAACAGTGCTCAAAATAGATACTTTCTGCACTAAAAACTATTGTAGTGCTCAAAGTAGATACTTTCTGCACTAAATGCTATTGCAGTGTGCAAAGTATCTACTTTTCGCACTAATAATTATTTTTTTATTAATTTATTTCTTTTATTTTACAAAAAAAAATTTTTTTTTTTTAACAGAAATAGTTTTTGATAAATTTTACTTCTACGATCGCGAAACAAGTTCTAAAGAGACACTATAATGCCAAATATAGTCTGAATTTAAAAATCTTATCGATTCGGCAAATCGGAGAATGGCGAATTCTATCAAATCAAGTTCGTAGAAACAATGGGACGAAACACACATAATTATATTTGTGTATTCTAACCGTATATAAAAGTAGTCTGTAGAGAGAGAAAAAGAGAGAGAGAGAGAGAGAGAAAGATAGCATATAGTAGATCGACCATGAGCCCAATCACAGACTCACTCCGCCCGCATTCCAGACTCCGACCTACCCATCGAGATGTATAAAAATTCTAAAACTAAACGTTCGCTTTGTTTCATTTCAAAAATGCTGTATATTTCTTAATATTTTTTTTTTTTCAATTCTTTCTATTGCGATACCAAATTACTATTAAAAAAGTTTCTATAAAAAAAACAAATTTTTTCCCTTTTATGTAACTGAAAAAATCAAAATTGAAGTTAATAATAAAAAAAAGTTTAAATATTTTTCTAAAAGTGGGTTTTAATTTAAAATTAAAAAAAAATAGTTACAATCTAATTTTTATGATTTTAAAAATTTATGAAATTTTATTTTAACGATTATAGAATGTTTCAAGGTTGAAGCAAAATGTTTCTATGATAATAAAAATATTATTATGTTGATAAAAAGGTGTCAGTATATTGATAAATAATTTGTTTTATTCAATTTTTATAGCACATAAAATTATTTTGCAATATTCATTATTCAATTTTTTTTTTTTGCCATTGTATATTAAAAATTTACATTTTATTGTTAGTATATAATAAAATTTACATTTATTGTTGGTATAAAAATTCACGTTTATTCTTAGTATTAAAATTCATATTGTTTGTATTAAAATTAACATTTATTGTTATTCCCTCACAACACAAGGATATTCAGGATATCCCTGGGACGTCCTGGGGATATCCATTTGCTTTTGGCGATTCGGATATCCCTAAGATATCCTCTGGATATCCATGGACATCTCTAAGATATCCCAGGGATATCCAAACCGCCGAAAACAAATCGATATCCCCAGGACGTCCCAAGGATATCCTGAATATCCTTTTGTTGTGAGGGTTGACTTATTCAATAAAAAAAAAAATTTATTAATAGAAATTTTGTATTGTTACTTTTTTGTATTTTATATATAATAATTTTTTTTTTTTTTTTTTTAATAAAGTACCTTAAAAAATGTATAATAAAAAATAATAAATTTGTTGTAAAATTTTAATTTGCATATACTTAAGTAATAAATGTGAGGATAACAGTAAGGAGAATTTACATTTTTTAGTAATGTATTTTCCTCGCATGAGCGCAACATAGTATACACACATTTCTTAATGAGTTGAGAATAAAATTATGAAAAATGATCGTGAAGCTTCCATTATCTTGTGAATAACACGAGTAGTTTTGTAAAACACTTATTAATTAGCTTGTTATTGACAGCAGTAAATCGATATATACGGATGTACACGCAGTATTATAGACAGGATGACGCGACAAAGTGGAAAATGATGGATGTGTTTTGATGTTGAAAGAGAAGCCAAACTGATTCTTTCTTGTTTCTTTAGTTTAGAATTTTTGGGGATGTTTGCTTTCATATCTCAATCTGTTTAGTGTATAACATACTTTTAAATTACATTGTCATGCCCTCTCTCAATAAATATATATATATATATATAAGTTTTTAATATTCCATCCGTCAAAATTTTTCACCATAAAAATTTTTTTTAGGAATTTTTTTTTTAATACTCATTTAATTGTCATTAATATTAAAAAAAAGGAATTAATATAAATTAAAATTTTCACACAATTTTTCTCTATTAACATTTTTATGATTTAAAACAAATTTATTATTATTATTATTATTATTAAAATTTTAATTAACTGATTATAAAAACTTATAAATTTTACTTAATTGACTAATTACAAAAAAAAAAGTTGTAATTGGAAAATTCTTGTTTGAAATTTATTTATTTTTTTTTAAGACGCGGATAAAAAGAGTAATGTTCTAAATTTACGGATTTCATTAATTCAATGTATATTTGATGATATAAAATTGCTCTCCGTTATATAAATTAACACATTTCCGCAAGAAATGACGTCACTTGGTTTATTCTGTTCTCTGGAGATGAAATGAATGCTAGTTAGCTGTTCTTGTATTGTCTGCCATGTGGTTAGACGCATTCCCACAAGTTTGTTCAATCAACGCAAAACTTTGTATAAACTTAAATTCTGAGTGTGTGTGTGTGTGTTTTATTACTATTTATATAAAATCGAGAGATTTAGATTGAAAAATTTTCAAAATAAACTACTATAAATATTTTTTTTTAAAAAAAAGGGAAAATGTGAGTTTTTTCCAAACTTTTGTGATATTTTGGAAAAAAAAAAAATTTTTAATATATTTACGGAAAAAAATATTTACTTGAAATAGCGAAAAGTTTCACTGGAATAGCGAAAGATATAATTGAAACAAGTAAAACTTTTATTACTATATAGTAAAACGTCTTGCTGTTCCAGGTAAATATTTGTTCCGTGTTTTTTTTTTTTTTTTGAATTTTGTAAAACTATCAAATTAATTGAAAACGAATTAGCCTTTTTGAAGAACTAAATTTTTAGTAGATAAAAGTCGGGTAAAAGTCCGCTAAAAATTCCCTAAAAATCCGCTGATAGTCCGCTAAAAGTTTGACAATTCAGAACAATTTTTTTTTTTTTTAAACACAAATTTTAAGCTGATAGAAGTTTGGTGACATTCTGTTAAAATTCCGCTGATAGTCCGCTGATAGTCCACTGAAAGTCCGCTGAAAGTCTGACAATTCAAAACGAATTATATTTTTTGAAAATCAAATTTTTGAGCTGATAGAAGTCTGTCGAAAGTCTAGTGAAAGTCCGCTAAAATTTCCCTAAAAATCCGCTGATAGTTTTTTTTTTTCATTTTTAATTTAACACAAAATTATTATTATTAAAAAAAAATAATAATATTTCTCTCTTTTCTTCATCGATGGAATGAAAAATATTTTCAATCTTTTTTTTTAATTTAAATTTTCAGCAATTTAGGGAGAATTTTTTTTTTCTTTTTTTTTTTTTATTCTCAACAAAAAGTTATTGTGTATACAAATTGAAAGTGTTTTATGTGAAATTGAGAGTTGCCATTACATGACTGTTCAGTTCAGCAAAATTTGAGGCGCAGGTAACAGGCCTTTGCTTGTTAACGAAACTGGAATATAATGGCGACCACGTGACCTTGAAGAATTTGATTGCCATCGACAAAACCCAATAGAGTATTTCCAAATTCGTTTCATAGTCCCTTTTTTTTAGGATTTTTAAAATTTTACAAACTGAATTACATAAAAAAAAAAAAAAAAAAAAAAAAAAAAACTTTTCAATTCAAAAACTAAATTATGCTTTATTAAAAAATTAAAAACAAAACGTTTTTGTTTAAAAACTGAAACGGGGGTAAATTTTTCCAAAAAAAAAAAAAAACGGGGTAATATTGACATGAAACATTTTATGATCATAATTAGTAATAATAATAATAATAATTATTATAATTATTATTATTATTATTATAAAAGCAATATATTCAGTGATGAGTAAAGTGTTTAATAAAAATAAAATGTTTCGTTTATTTTAATTTAGTAAAAAAAAAAAAAAAATTGCGAACATTATTTTTAGTTACCATTTGACTATAGCTTAGTGGATTTCATTTCAGAAGCGTATAAAATGGAACGGATGGAGGGGAACTTTTGATGAAGGGCAAGAGGAAGGGAAAAATGCCGGCTGGCAAGCAGATGGTTGCTCCGTTTATTGGTTTATTCTATGTCCAACCCAACTAAAGTTCTTTTGTGTTGGAGAGAGAAAGAGAGAGAGAGAGTGAAAAACTTTTTACACAAGAGAGCTCAACAACCAGCATCACCAACGACAATGTTTCGCGCCATCGAGAAACGACCAAGGGAGAGAAGTTCATTCACAAGAGAGATGTGCATGTAAGTTATGGCGTAAAACGAGTTGCAATATATATATATATATATATATTGCAATCCCTCGAAATATGCGTCTGATTTGATAACAATCCGAAGGGTCAGAAAAAGATCCATTTGTAAATTGGAAAGTAATATGTTTTCTAATTTTAAACAAAAAAAAAAATTTTTTCTTTTATTTTTTTGCCATTTTTTCTATTTTCTGACGGAATACATTTTTTTCTTAATTCCGCCAAAAATTTAACAGACTATTAGCAGACGGTAATCCGTTAAAATTCAGCAAACTTTTAGCGGACGGCAATCCGCTTAATTTCAGCAGACATTCATTGGACGGAAATTAGCGGAAGAGCAGCTTTTTTTTAATAGACTTTCACTAGCCCAAAAATTTTCAGACATTAAGTAGACAGAAATCAGCTAAAATTTCAACAAACGTTAAGTAGACAGAAAATTTTTTTTGCTAAAATTCAACAGATTTTAAGTAGACAGAAATTTTGCTAAAATTGCAACAGACAATAAGCAGACAGAAATCTGTTAAAATTTAACAGACTTTCAGTGAAGAGAAATTCATTAAAATTCAGCAGAATTTTATGCGAACAGAAATTAGCTGAAGTTCAGCAAACTTTCAGTATAGATATATATTTAACAGGCAAAAATTAGCTAAAATTCATGCTGACAGAAATTAGCGGAAATTCAACAGTTATTTAACAGACAATAGTTTGGCTAAAAATTTTGCTGACTTTTAATAAATATAGAAATCCGTTAAAATTGAACAGACTTTTAGCAGACAAAAATATAAAATTCATTATACTTTTAATAGACGGAAAGCCGCGCTTAAATTCAGCAGAATTTTAGTAGACAGAAATCCGCTAAAATTCAGCATACTTTCAACGGGCAGAAATTAGCTGAAGTTGAACAGAATTTTAGTAGACAGAAATCCGCTAAAATTCAGCATACTTTCAGCGGACAAAAATTAGAGGAAGTTCAACATTTTTTTAACAGACTATATATGTATATGTAGTTGGTTAAAAATATGCAGACTTTTAACAGACAGAAATCCTATAAAATTCAGTATACTTTTAACAGACAGAAAGCCGCTAAAATTCAGCAGAATTTTAGTAGACAGAAATCCGTTAAAATTCAACATACTTTCAGCGGACAAAAATTAGCGGAAGTTCAACAGTCTTTTAATAGACAGAGTTAGTTAAAAATATGCAGACTTTTAACAGACAGAAATCCATTAAAATCGAATAGACTTTTAGCAGACAGAAATCCTATAAAATTCAGCAGATTTTTAATAGACGGAAAGCCGCTAAAATTCAGCAGAATTTTAGTAGACAGAAATCCGTTAAAATTCAGCATACTTTCAACGGGCAGAAATTAGCTGAAGTTGAGCAGAATTTTAGTAGACAGAAATCCGCTAAAATTCAGTAGACTTTCACCAAACAGTCGGCTATAAAAGTTTTTGGACTTTCAGCCAAAATTTATTGAATTTTTGGATATTTTCCAAAGTTTTCAAAATCAACTATATCAACTATAATTACAAAAAAAAAGGACTTTTACTCATAAATTATTTTATTTCAGAGATGATAACCATAATGAAAGAAATAGAGGAAATAGGCACTCTAGACACTTCTGACAAGGCAAACGAAGCAGTATTAATGTGGAAAATTATATGCTCAGGGGAAAGCAACGCAAACTTAAAACGACGTCGGTTTTGGCGTCGCAGTTTCATATACATATATATATGTATATAAGCCGAATAAAATGCGTCCATAATGGCGTCTTTCGTTGGACGTCGACGGATCGATAAAGGGGGACTCATGGTCTACAAAACCTAAAAACCACCCCTTTATTACACCCCTCAGTTACTTTTGCCACCAGTCGTAGAAAGCATCTCGCAATGGATTAACATCTCTCTCTTTCTCTCTCTCTTTCTATCTCTCTTTCTCTCTCTCTCTCTTTCCCAAGGGAGGAAATTATATACAAACACAAAATAAGGTAAGTGCGTATATGGTTCTTTTGTGAAAAATTTTTCAAAAGTAAAATTTTAAGCTTAAATTAAGTTGTGTGTTTTGACTTTCAGCAGAAGTCAACGATTCCTGTCAAACAACAAACAAAAATTTCCAAAGATTTTTGAAGACACTTTTAAAGAAGGATTAGGATACATTTAAACGCATTTGCATGGATTTATCTTTATATTTAAACTCCCAAGTGAGACTAATTTGCCGCTGAGAATATCTCTTGGGGGACTGGTTTTTCATGCGGTATAAGAAGAAGAAGAAGAAGAAGAAGAAAAAAAATTAGCCTAATCCTCCAGGGATTACAAAGGTAGTTGTCCGCTCGAGCGAGCATGGTCGGTAAAGTCAATGTTTTCACGGCCCAAAGAAGGCGGGAAAAGATTGGGTGATGTTTCTGTTTTTCTAACTCTCTCTATATATATATATATACACACCTCTAAAACCCAGTCGGTATATATATATACACACTGGTTGCTAATTTTTCATGAAAAGAAAGATATACGCTTTCTTATAATGAGATTATAAGAAGGAGAAATTTTACAATTTCAAAGGGTTAAGGGTTCTTATCTTTCGAGAAACAAAAAAAAAAAAAAATTTTAAACAGGCAAAATAGTGAAATTTTTTTTTTTTAATTTTGGAAATTAAATTAGAATTTAATTTTTAATTATAAATTTTGTGAATTTTTATAGGTTTTTCATTAGAAAGAATTAAAAAGATATTAAATTTTAGTTTAGTTAGTTTTAGTAAGCTAAAAATTAAATTTTGAGCTTCCTTTCTAAATTTTAGTTAGTAAAAATTTTAACTAATTTGAATTAGTGACTTTTTTTTGCATTTGAATTAGTTTAATTTTATTGATTCAATAGTAAATCATTTTTTTTTTACTATTAATTAATAAAATTTTTGCTAATTCAAAAGCAAAAAATTAGTTACTAATTCCAATTAGTTAAAATTTTTACTGTTTAAAATTTAAGTTAAATTTTACTAATTTGATAGTAAGGATTTTTTTTTACTATTAATTAATAAAATTTAACTAATTCAAAAGCAAAAAATTAGTCACTATAATTCAAATTAGTTTAAATTTTTACTAATTTAGATTTAAAATAAATTTTATTAGTTCATAGTGGAAAAAATTGTACTTTCTAGATCTAAATTAGTCACTCTTGACTAATTTACGCCTTTTCGTTTATTAAAGGAATTAGTAAACGTTTTTACTAGTTTTTAGTCACAAATTGACTAACTAAAAGTAGAAAACAACTTATTAATTTTGTAAGGCTACTATTTTAATTAGTAAACTTTATTAAATAAAATAGTAATTTTCTATACTATCAATTAGTTAATTTTTTGACTACAAAATAGTCAATTTTTTTTTTACTATAAATTCGTCAAAACGGTTAATAATTTATTTAATGTACGAATCGGAGCACTTGACTACAAATTAGTCAATTTTTTTTTACTATAAATTAGTCAAAACGGTTAATAATTTATTTAAGTAGTTAAAAAACAATTTTTCCATTGAACTAGAATAAATATGAAATTAGCACTTAGTAAATTAAATCTGAAGTAGTAAAAATTGTAACTAATTTAAATTAGTGACTCTTTTTTTGCTTTTGAATTAGTTAAATTTTACTAATTCGATAGTAAACAATTTTTTTTTTTACTATTAGTTAATATAATTTTACAAATTCAAAAGCGAAAAGTCACTAATACAATTTAATTAAAATTTTTTACTAATTGAAATATTTAGAGAGTAGCAAGCAAAAAGATTTAGTTTTGAACTTAGTAAGCTAAAAATTTAAATTTTCAGCCAATATATAAAATTGCTAATTACTTTCATTATCGTTTCCAAAAATGTTACGAAATTTTTTTTTTTGTACAACAATATATTCTTAAATTTAGAATATATGTTCTTATCTTAAGAGACACTAAATTTAAGAATAAATTATATTCAAATATTTTTGAATAGTTGACAGAAGCAAATTTTTAAATTGTAGAATTTTCTTTTCGTTTATAACATTTTATTTTATTAGAAATAAATTTTTTTTATTTTTCATAAAAATTGTTGAAAGTTCTTTCAATTTGAAATGTCAGGTTTTTTTAACACCTTTTATATTAAGAATCTTATCTTTATCTTAAGACAATAAACAATAAACTATTGCTTAAATCTCGAAACGCGTAATACCAGTATATTGATTAGAATTTTAATTTTTTTTCTTATTTTTTAATTTGAAGGTATTAAACATATATGGAAAAAAAATCTTTATCTGGAACAACGATATGTCTCTCTAAAATAGCGAAAACTATCGGTGATTTAGAGAAACATATCGATTATTCAGATAAAGAATTTTTTCCATGTATGAAATGAATTTGATACCTTCAAATTGAATGTTTTTAATGTTTATTTATTATAAACGAGACTTTCTTTATAATATAAATGATATATTATAACATTATAACATTATATATTATTACATTATAATATATACTATATATATATTAAATTTATATATATATATATATAATTTACAGTTGAATATTATCATTTGTAACACTCGATGATCGATATCGGATTCATAGCACAGTGTCAAAGATAAATTGATAGAAGAGTCAAGTAGATAAATGCTTCATAATGGCATATCTTTCTCTTAAATTTTTTTTTTTGTTTTTTTTTTTTAACGAAGTAAATCAATTTGTTCGATTAAACGAAGAATTTAACCGCCCACGTTGTGTCATCAAGTAATTAATTGCCCCCCAGAGACTTCAGATAAGGAGGAACAAATCCTTTTATATATATTTCATAAGAATTCATTTGATGGTGCAATTGCACAAGTTTTCCCCACGTATATATATATATATCTTTTCTATCACTTTAAAGCATTTTTTTCGACATTTAAAAAAAATTTATAATCTCTTATATATACTATATTTTTAGTATTTTATACTATATTATATATAATAAACTTTATTTTACAATATAATAAAAATTAATTTTGTTTTAGAATTAAATATACGCAAAGGATATGCAGAAATGATAATTTGAGCCAAAAAAAAAATGATTTTTTCATTTATTTTTTTTTCCAATAATTGAAAAATTAATGAAGATAATATTTATTCAATTATCTGAATACAAAAAAACAAACCGAATATAGAATGAGGTAAGAATTTTTTTTATATATATATATAGAAACAAATAAATTAATTAACTAAAACTATTTCGAATAAATAATAATTTTTAGGAAAATTTACACTGTTTTCTTGAAGATGTGTAAACTGATAACAATATTTCGGATAAAATTATGTTTTTAATACAAATATTGGTATCAATTTGTTGTAATTTGATACCTTTAAATTATAGTGAATTAATTAATTAATCTGTCCCACTTGGAAAGATTCCCCGGAAAGTGACCCCCCCCTGGAGGTTCTATCAGAATTCCGCCGGAATTTCCAACGTAATTCCGTCAGAATTCCATCGGAGTTTCAAAGAATTTCCGATGCGATTCCGAACGGAGTTCCGACGAAATTCCGATTGATTTTTTTTCCAAAATTTTTAGAGTTCTAATTTCGGTGAAATTCCGTCAGAATTCCGCCGGAACTTCCAACGTAATTCCATCGGAATTCCATCGGAGTTCCAAAGAATTTCCGATGGGATTCCGAACGGAGTTCCGATTGATTTTTTTTCCAAAATTTTTAGAGTTCTAATTTCGGTGAAATTCCGTCAGAATTCCGTCGGAATCCCAAAGGAAATTCTTTGGAATTTCCGATGGAATTTCCGATGGAATTACGTTGGAAGTTCCGGCGGAATTCTAATAAAACCTCCAGGGGGCACTTTTCGGGGAATCTTTCCAAGTGGGGTTATACCTTATGGGGTATTTCACGAAAAATTGTCTATTAAAATTTTTTTTTTGACTGAAACATTTTTGTTCAAAATCTTAATAAAAAAAAAGGCAAATTGTGTCATTTGCATAATTTTTGTAATTATTTTGCTACTTTTCTTTTATAAGAATTTATTTTTATTTTTTCTTTTATTCTTACTCTACATTGAAAAAAAAAACAATTTATTTGATTCAAATACTCGATTACTTCACTATTATCAAATAAATATTTATTTGTATTAAATATATAATTATTATTTGAGATGGTATATTTGTTTCAAATACAGAAATTATTGGTTCATAAATACAATTTATTTAATTCAAAATAAAAATTATTTGATTCAAGTATAACTATTTATTTGATACTCAAATAATCGAGTATTTGAATCAAATAAATTTCTTGTTCATTTTATTTTGTATCAATTATATTTTTCATAAATAAAATAAATAAAAATTTTTGAAGAACGTTCCAGTCAATAAAAAATATATTGAAAGAAAATCCCATGTGTGGAATTTCCTTTAAATAAATTGTATAATTATTTACTAAATTAAAAAAAAAAAAAAACTAAAAAATGCAAAATTACAGGTTCAAAAACAAAAGGAAAATATTATTTCGTATATATAAAGTTTGGAGAGGAAGAAATATAATATGAAAAGCACAGTGGCCAAGTGACCTGAACTAATGCAATGTGTCGGTGTATATATATATATATTTATACTGACAGACAAAATAGGAATAAAAGAAGTTGTATCCGCTAACAATAAGAAGAGAACGCGTCCTTGCCACAATCAGCTGTGTCATCCTTGGTCCGTTAACGCTCAGATGGTTCGCGTATCAATCACTATCGGTAGTTCAGGTGATCGTTCAGGTGTGTAAGATAATCACGCTGCCCCAAGATAACCTCAACCGATAAATATATATATATATATAGCACACGAACTCTTATCTGACAAAAGATTTATCTTCAAAATTTAACCTGCATTTTGAAAATTAGACCATCGCCTAATCATTCAGGTATTATAAGCCAAATCAATGTTGTCTATATATTCTGAAAATCATCATTGTCTACTTTGTCAAAAAAAAATTCTCAACTTTTTCTCGCATATCATTTTTTTTTTTTTTTTTTATCTATTTGATGACAATTCGAAAGAAGAATTTTTTGATCAGTTTACAGTGGACCGTTCTAATTTTCGAAAATATTAATTAGAAGGTAGCATTTTTGTAATTCATTTTCGAATTTTTGATACATTTTTGATACATTGTAATTTTTTGGATAATTAATTACAAAGTTAGCATTTTTGCAATTCATTTTTGTTATTTTTCAATGCAGTAGTATACAGTGGACCGTTTCAATTTTCTGGAATTAAAAAAGCAGTAGGATTTTTGTAATTAATTTTCCAGAAGATTAGAATGATCTACTGTAAATCACTGATTCAAAATTTTCCGATAAATGATTTACAAAACTGGCTACCTTTTGTAATTAATATTACAGAAAATTTAAATCAGTGTTTTACAGTGGATCATTCTAATTTCTTGGAAAATTTATTACCAAAAAGGTAGCATTTTTTAAATTTATTGTTGGATCAATAGTTTACAGTGGATCGTTTCCATTTTCTAGAATTACAAAAAGATAGCTTTTTTGTAATTCATTTTCGAATTTTTGATCCGTGGTTTACAGTGGACCATTGTAAATTTTTGGAAAAATAATTACAAAAGTTAGCATTTTTGCAATTCATTTTTGAATCAATGGTTTACAGTGGATCGTTTCGATTTTTTGAAAAATTAATGACAAAAAAGTAGTATTTTTGTTATTTTTGAATGCAGTAGTATACAGTGGACCGTTTCAATTTTCTGGAATTTACAAAAGCGGTAGGATTTTTGTAATTAATTTTCCAGAAAATTAGAATGATCCACTGTAAATCACTGATCCAAAATTTTCCGTTAAATGATTTACAAAACTGGCTACCTTTTGTAATTAATATTACAGAAAATTTAAATCAGTGTTTTACAGTGAATCATTCTAATTTCTTGGAAAATTTATTACCAAAAAGGTAGCATTTTTTAAATTTATTGTTGGATCAATAGTTTACAGTGGATCGTTTCCATATTCTGGAAAATGAATTACAAAACAGTACCAATTTTGTAGTTTTTAAATGCAATAGTATACAGTGGACCGTTTCAATTTTCTGCAATTACAAAAGCGGTAGCATTTTTATAATTCATTTTCGACTTTTGGATTAGTAGTTTACATTGGACCATTCTAATTTTTTCAAAAATGAATTACAAAAAGGTAACATTTTTTAAATTACTTTTTACAATGGATCTTTTTTATTTTCTGAAAAATGAATTGAAAAAAGTAGTATTTTTGTAATTTTTGAATGCAGTAGTATACAGTGGACCGTTTCAATGTACAAAATGGAAAAAAGTAGAATTTTTGTAATACATTTTAGACTTTTGTATTAGTAGTGTACAGTGGACTTTTTCGCAAAGTGAATTACAAAAATACCACCAAATTTTTAATAACAAATGAATATCAACTGTAAAGCACTGGTCCATTGTAGAAGATGCAACATATTCTAAACCAAAAATTGATTTTACTATACCTACTTTAAATGAAAAAAAAAAAAAAAATTATTTACAGAAAAAGGAAAAAACAATTAACACACTGGGCCAAGAAAGAAAAGCAGCGAAAAAAAAATAATTGGAAATGGAAAATGTGCGCGTGAGAGAAGGCCCAGTTAATGCTCTACATCTACCCTGTAGATCCGAATTTGTTTGATAACAGGCGACAAATTCGGTTCTAGAGAGGTTTGTGTGGTGCATACAATGCTACAATGGTCTCGTACAATGTACAATGCTCTCAAGGCACAAAAGAAGAATTCAAAATGATGATTCGAAATTGAAGAATATGCAACACACACACACACATACACACACCCTTTTAAGAAAATCGATTAATCAATGACTCTTCCACATTATATTTATAGACTATTGTAATAATTATCAATCCTCATTCATAATATTATGATTCATTGATCTATATTCTATTCAATAGCAATATTAATTTTCAATAATAAATGCAGCAAAAAAAATTAAACTATTTTTACTAATTAAATAAAAATTAATTTAATTGAAAAACTATTACAATTGATAATAACAAATCATAAAATCAAAAAAAAATTTTTTTAATATACAATCAAAAAAGTGACAATGAAAATTTTTTCAATCTGTTCAAAATCAATTTGTAGATAGTGAAAAAATATACTTGTGAAAATTATTCTATAACTTTATTTCTAATTTACCATATACACAAAAAAAAAACAAGTCAGATTTAATAACAAAATTTACAAAAACAAAAATTATACAGAGTAAATACTATAGAGAAAAATACTAATTTTTATTTACGAAAAAAATTAATAAACCCAAAGAAGGGAATTTTTATATAGTCAAAATAATAATTCTGGAAATGAAAATCAATTTTTTCAATCGGTTCAAAATCAATTTTCTAAAAAAATGTATACTTTTGAAAATAATTTATTTAATTTATTTCTACACAATTTACCAAATAAAAAATAGAAAAAAATGTGAAAAAATCCAAATGTTTTAGATTTAACAACAGAATTTACAACAAAAAAAAAAGAAATTATACAGAATAAACATTTAAAGAAAAAGAAATTAATTTTTATTCCCCCAAAAAAATTAATAATTCCAAGTGAAAGAAAAATTAATTTAAATTCATCAACTGATTTATTTGAAAAAGTAAAATACCCAATCAGAAAATAAGAAATATTGAAAAATAGAAACAAAAAAAAAACACACACACACAAAAATAATTTAAGATTTCAGTATTAATGGTGGGTTATAAGATCACTTGAAAGGAAAGAAAAATTGATGTAGAAATAAATATCTTTGCTAGACAGGTATTCAAGATATTTTTTTTTTTTTTTTTTTTATTTAATATTATAACTTTCCCTTGGATCGTATATTAACAGAGGTTTACCTTCGTTCTCCAAAGACTTTCCACTGTAGGGGAAAAATTAAAAATGCAATGAAGAAAAAAGAAGAAAAAAAAGAAGATGAAAAAAATATCAAAGAAGAAAACCATTAATTTTGTGGAGTCGGTTGCATCCGTGACGAGGTGCTGCCAATGATGAACCGAGTTATATGACTTGTGACCCATTGCACATCTCCTGACACATGTCCGTTATATACCTTTACAGACATATTTTCTCTCTATATATATATGTATATCTAACTGAGAAGAATAGTTGCCCAATGAAGAATGTTAAATAAAATATATATAAAATTACACATTGAATAAAAAATAGACAAAAAAAAAATTTCGAAAATCAATTTTGCTTTAATGAAAAAAAAAAGTTTTTGTCAGAATTTGATTTAACTGAAAAAAAATTTATTTGTTTCAACTACAGAAATTATTGGTTTAAATACAATTTCAATTCAATTATTTGGTTCAAGTACACCCAAAAAACATTGTATATTTCTCTCACAGCCTAATAATTATTTATTTGATGCAAGCAAATATTTATTTGATTCAAATAAATTTTAATTTGATTCAAATAAATATTTATTTGATTCAAATAAACATTTATTTGATTTAAATAAAAAAATTTATTTTCGCCAAATAAATGGGATTCAAGTAAATATTTGTTTGATTCTAGTAAATATTTGCTAGATTCTATTAAATATTTGTTTGATTCTAGTAAATATTTGCTTGATTCAAGTAAATACTTGTTTGATTCTAGTAAATATTTGCTAGATTCTAGTAAATATTTGTTTGATTCTAGTAAATATTTACTTGATTCAAGTAAATATTTGGAATAACCAATATTTGTTTGATCCTAGCAACTATTTGCTTCATTTTAGTAAATATTTGCTAGATTCTAGTAAATATTTGTTTGATTCTAGTAAATATTTGCTTGATTCTAGTTAATATTTGCTTGATTTTAGTAAACATTTGTTTGTTTCCATTAAATATTTGGTTAATTCGAATAAATATTTATTTTATTCTAGTAAATTTTTGTTTCATTCAAATAAACATTTATTTGATTTAAATAAAAAATTTTATTTTCGCCAAATAAATGGGCTAGTAGGCTGTGAGACAAATATTCGTTTATATAATCCAAATATATTATATTTGATTCAAAAAAATTTTTATTTGATTTAAATAAAAAAAATTTATTTACGCCAAATAAATGGACTACTAAGCTGTGAGACAAATATACGTTTATTTAACACAAATATATTATATTTGGTTTAAATAAAACATTTCTCTGGGTGTTTAAATATATATATTGTAAACGATTATTTAAATCAAAAAATTTTTCTTTTTCAATGTAATTCCACGATTATTTTCAATAACCAGAAGTTATACAATATAAAATGGATCCAAAATTTTACTAAAAAAAAATTTTCCAAAAATTATACAGCAATTATGAAAAAAAAATAATTGAAATAGAAATTAACTTTTTCATTCAGATTTTTTTTTTCTCAAAAAAAAAACATAAGGTATATATAATAATAGATGCTTTCGATCTGGTATATATGTGAGCTCTTTAACCCTTCAATAATACCATAGATAGAATCATTAATCTTTAATCATGATCATAATAAAATGACATGTCAGTATAATGTTATGCAATGCTGATAAGTGTTAATGAAGTATATCTGTATATACAAGAGGTTAATTATATACTATTCTAAATTGCTTATATACTTTTTGTTCACAATCTGAGTATATATATATATATATATAATATAAATTTCGAATATAATGTAGTTTACGTAATTTTTGCTCGCAAAAAAAAAAAAAATAAAAAAATTCTTTTTTGTAAAAAAATAAAAGAAATATTTTTTTTAACATATATTATATTTTTACAATGAACTTCTTTTTATATATTGCCTAAATATTAAAATATATATTTTAATAAAGATATTTATTATTTTTATTTTATAAATTTTTGATTTTTTCTTTTAATTTTTTTTTTTTTTTTTTTTTTTTGACTATCTCACTGAATGAAAAATACGAGGTGTTTTTTATTTATAAATTTAAATTATAAAAATTTTAAATTTTTAACAAGTTAAAAACAATTAAAATTTTTTTTTTAAATGAAACATAGTTATTAAATAATAATAATGAACGCAAAAGTAATAATAATAATTAATCTAATATCATTAATCATTAGCACATATATATATATATATATCTCTTGCAAAATCTTCATTAGCTTTCATATATATTTTATATGCAGAAATTAATTAAAACTATTATTCATACTTTAAAAAAGTTAATTAAAAACAATCAATGAATTCACTTTTTTTGGGTTAATTTCTAGGATAGTTGAATTCGATTAATCATTATCCATATAATAATATTTTTTCTTTTTAGTATTTAGTAATTTAAAAACTATACAATTAATAATAAATTAAAAAAGTAGAGTTATGAAAAAAATATATAGTTATAGAAATGATAATTAATTTATTTTTAATAAATTTTTCAAATAAAGAAAGAATTTGATTGAACCAAATAAATTTTTAGTTGATTCAAATAAATATTTATTTGATCTAAATAAACGTTTGGTATTATATAACTGTAATAAATTTTTCGAATGTAGAAAGAATTTAATTGGACCAAATAAAAAAATTTGGTTGATTCAAATATAAATATTTATTTGATCTAAATAAACATTTGGTATACTGTAATAAATTTTTCGAATAAAGAAAGAATTTAATTGGACCAAATAAAGATTTGGTTGATTCATATATAAATATTTATTTGATCTAAATAAACATTTGGTATACTGTAATAAATTTTTCGAATGAAGAAATAATTTGAATGAGCTAAATAAAGTTTTTGTTGATTCATTAAAAAGTTTGGTTAACTGATGTATGATCATTTATTTGGTTGATTGAACCAAAAATTTGGTTGTTTCAAATAAATTTCTATCTGAAGTGGAAGTAGCTTACTTTTAAATATGTAAACTGAAAAAATTAATTGATTCAAATAATCGGTTAAATAAATATTTATTTATATCAAACAAATATTTAGTTGATACAAATAAATATTTATTTCTATCAAATAAATATTTATTCGTATTAACTACATATTTATTTGTTTCAAATAAATATTTATTTATATCAAGGAAATACTTATTTGTACCAACTACAAATAAATATTTATTTCTATCAAATAAATATTTATTTGTATCAATTACATATTTATCTGTATCAAATAAATATTTATTTATATCAAGGAAATATACTTATTCGTACCAACTACATATTAACTTGTATCAAATAAATATTTATTCGTATCACATATTTACTTGTATCAAACAAATATTTATTTGTATCAACTAATTATTTACTTGTGTCTAATAAACATTTATTTAAAAAATAATTTATTTAAATAAACTAACTTTTTTCCAGTGTATATATTTTTTTTTTTTGGTAAAAAAAAGGCTAATTTGTTTGCCTTTTAAAAACATTATTTGAAGAATAAACAAAAACCGATAAGAAATCTAATGTCTAATATACTTTATCATAATTCTTTACACTCAGAAAAAAATTCGTTTAAAGCAACCAAATTTTGCTTAAATTAACAAAATAAATGCATTAATATATACAGTTAACCAAACATTTGGTTGCATAAACCAAACGTTTATATTTAGCTTAATCAAATTTTTTCTTTGTTCAAAAAATTTATTAAAATAAACCAAACAGGTTATTTAGATCAAATAAATATTTATTTGAATTAAACAAATTTTGTTTGAACTAACCAAAAAATTGGGTAAATATAAAAAAATGGTACATTTGGTTCAAACATATCTTTTTTCTGCGAGTGCCACTAGAAACAATAAAGATTTTATTAAATTTCATGTATAATTTATAGAATCCTCTTTTATTAAAAAAAAAAAATACATTCAGAGAAATATATAAATTCAATCAAACGCCTAATAAATTCACTTCCCGTCGGAAAAAATCAATTAAAAAAAAAAGATCCATAATTTTTCTAAACTAAATTCTTTCTTGAGAAAAAAATTTTTTTTTTCTAAAACGCATCAAAAATCTCCCCTGATAAATAGAGTATAAAAATCGAAATATATTTTCAACGGTTATAATTCAATATAGGAAAAAAAAAATTTTTTTTTTTCAAAATATAAAGAATGGAATATATATATATATATATGTATATATATCCGTGAAAGAAGTGGTCATTCGTTATATATATATGTGATGTCGATCTTTGAACTTTCAATA